TTTGTTGTGTTTCCATGATAAAATCACAAAAGTGAATTTTTTTAATTTATTATACTCTTTTAATCAGCAGACCAATAAAAAAACAGACTTTATCAATTTAGGTAAAATTCAAAATGTTTTTGTTTATTCTATACACCAAATTAATTTCTTTATCAAAGTAACTAGCATAATATAATCGAAATAACTAGTATTTTAGAAATAAGTAATAGAAATTTTATTGAAATATATTTTATGGTATAAAACATTTAAAACACTTTGTAAAATCTTTTTTCTTTTTTTAAACTTAATATAATTAATATTTCAATTAATGCAATGTTTATTTGTGTAAATATATTCAAGTATAACTATTAAATATTTAATTAGAAATTAATTTTTTTTGGTTACACAATTACACTTTTATAGTTATAAAATTTTCAATATTTATAAATATTAAAGTGTTTTTATTATTCTGGAAAAACAGCATTTAAAATTTAATTATATCACTGTGTTTGATCTATTGGATTAAATATATTTGTTTTCAGCCTGTTAAAAGCAATTGCTAATGTTTTTCATAAAATAATCAAAAAATATTCAAGCTTATGCAAAATAACAATATTAATGGACTTAAGACTCTTAAAAAGATTTTAAATACAAAAAACATTAAATATTAAATATTAAAATTAACTATTACTTTATTGCTTAAGCTATAAAACTTATGCACAAAATATGGTATATATATTTAATTAATTCTATACACATATTATTTGTAAAAGTTATACGCAAACTGAACCATAAAATTTTTTTAAATTTTGACATTTCTGGTTTTAGGGAAGGAGGTTAATATTGATTTATCTCAATTAAAAAATATAGAAACAAAATGAAATTTTTAAGGAAAGTATTTTGCATATCAGAATATTATCATCTAGGTTTGCAAAATTAGAAGTGTAGCACTGCTTATGGCTAGTGATGAGACCTAAGAATTGACATCATAAAGCAAAAACACATGATTTTTCAAACAGAACTGTGAAATTAAAACATTTTCTACTAGAAGTGACCAGGGTTAAAATTTGCCGAATTAAAATTAAAATTTCAGACTTCCAAGTGCAACTATTTAGAAAATGTAGCTTTACAAACACTGCACAGTGGCCCCCCTCGATTTATGAATTGTAAAAACAGACTACTTTAAAACCTCATAACTTTTTTTCTATCTTTCAACAAGTATCTCGTTTTTTTAGAAGTGTTTTCTGGGTAGGTCTGTGTTAAAAATACTGGTTTTTGTAATCTGCAAAATGTCATTTTTGTAATTAAAAAATATTAATAATAATAATTGAAAGGGTTGGAATAGTGAGAGTATTGGAAAAATATAATAAAATTTATAGTCATGATATTAGGTAAATTAGACTAAAAGTCATTCATTTCTGTTTTATCAACAAGCTACTAATAAGTTTTATATAAAAACATTAACGACTAAATTTCAGTTTTTATATGTGTATGTTTAGTGGTGCGTTTGGGCATAAAGGCACTTCATACGTCAGACATAAAACCAGACACACCATGTAAGGAGAAGTGTTTGTACATTTTTTTTCTAAGTTCTAGAAAAACATGTTAATGTTAAAAAGTAAATGGACAGGGGAGGGGGGAGGAAAGAACTTAGCTATTTAAAAACTGAGTTTTATTTAGGCGTAATTAAAGACTTCTTTCTAGTACTGATTATAAAATACTTTTTGATTCATATATACTTTGTATTACAATATATAATACAAACTAAAATACAACAATAACTTGATTTTTATTATTTTTAATGCATTTTGGATAATTTTAATTGTTCTCATTTTGTAACTTCCCTGCGATTACCCACTATTTTTTTTTCTGAAATCACGCAATAAAGTCTTTTAAATTTGAAGAAAAAAAAATCTTTTCATAACCAGTGTTGATCCTAGGTTACAGGTGGTTTGAAGTGGAGGCACATTTTCCTAAGTTTTAGTTGCAGCCATTTTTAGAGGCCTATAATTTTTTACTGAATTGTATTTTATCAGTAAATTTCTAAAAAAGCCTACCATATATAGAAACTAAAAAATTATTTCTTTTATATTTTTTTTAGGTTTTGTATATTGACAAAAATCAACTTTTTATACTTGCATATATATATATATATATATATATATATATATATATATATATTTATATATATATATATATATATATATATATATATATATATATATATATATATATATATATATATATATATATATAGAATATATATCTGATTAGCATTTTCTGTTTTGAGATACTAGAATCATCATCATTAAAAAAAAAACCTTAACTGTTATTTAAAAAAACAACTGTAATAAACAAAACCTAGTTTAACTACATGCAAATTTTTTGAAGGTGCCTAAATAGGTTTGATCTAGTATATATTGTCTAGCCATGCTGTAACCAACCCCTATGGCCATAACTTATATTTCAGGCTATGTGAGTCAGTGGTTGGAAAGGTGATGATTTTATTGTTAAACAAAGA